TGACATGTCCCGCCTTTTTTTTGCTATGTTTTTTTTTTGTGCCGCTGTCGTTAAATGGCGGCGAGTGAGTGGGTGCACGCGTGCGCTGCTATTTGTCTTGTTTTTTTTTACTTAATATATATATATATATATATGTGTGTGTAATGTATATGTGTGTTTCTCTCTCTCTCTCGCTCTGTGTACGTATATCTTTGTATTTTGGTGTCCGGTTTCTGCGGCCACGATGCCACAGGCTTTTTCTCAGAACCGATGGACACAACAAGCATGAGAGAAGGGAAGCGTAATGCATTGCCATCGCGATAATGCAACATCACTCTTTTTTCTTCCACACAATACCATTCCTGAGGCGAAAAGGTATGGCAGACTTATGCACGACTATCACTGCCCGCGTGGGTGATGGGATGGTTTTCTTCTTCCGTGCTTTCTATCGTGCATGCGCTTGTTTCTAGTGTGGGATTCTTATATATATGCGTTTCTTGTTTCATTTTGGTTGCGTTTAGGTAACATTTTTCTTAAACAGATGCTAGTACTGTACGATGTGTATTTCTGCTTTCGAGAAGAATTGCCTCATCACTGTTGCACTTCCCTCGCCCAGTCTTGTTCCTTTCTTTTGTGTGTTACTCCTGGTTCCCTCACTGTGTGTAGCTGGGGCTGTTGGTTTTTTTTTAATGGTTTGTGCACGCTTTTGCAAAATTTCGCTTCTTCACCCCCTCTTTCTTTCTCTCTTTTTATCTTCTTCGCCACGGCAAGTTGCGGGAGTGCGAACAACTAGGAGAGACTGCTGGTGGTGCGGAGGGTCAAGTAAAGGGTTTGGGGCTCCTCATGGGCTCATTCCACAAGACTGAGGCTCTCCCGCCCATTGAGAGCACAAAAGGGGCGGATACACAAAGTGTTGCCCGGAAGGACGCGACTGAGACTTCACTTCAAGCGGGAGATTCGTACCCGTTTTTGAGGCTGTCTAGCTCCATGAGCTCGAGTGTGCCGCCGCTCTCCATATTTGGTTCTTTTGAGGACCACAACGGGGCGGCTGCAGTGACGCGAAATGGGAACGCTGGCCCGGCAGCTTCACCCATGCCCGGTCTTTCCTTCGGAATGGGGTCTCTGGCCGACGTTTCTTCGCGCGGCCACCCCGAGTCCGGGGATGGCCCGGAGTCTGCACCCACGCAGAGCGGCAAGGCGAAAACCGCAGTAGAGGATGGGGAGAACCTCAATTTCTTCCTTTTCGACGGACTTCCGCTTCTGGGCGAGAACGGGGGCTCGCTACGCTGGATTCAGGGTTCGGGTTCCGCGGAAGGCAGTCGCCTTGCGGTAAGCCCAAATCGTGTCGGAGGGGTGTCGCCAGCGCGCGAGGAGGACTCTGTGTTTGGTGGGAATAACAAGAGTGATACAGAAGCAGCAGAGCAAAGTCTCCCATCCGTTAAGGTGGCCCACCCTTATCATAACGACCATACAATGCCTAGCTCAACTGACGCTGCCTCGTGGGATCTGCACAAAGCCTCTGCAGCCCTGTCAAACTCGGTCCCGCTTTGCCAACGGCCGTGCCCACACAAACCAGGAAACACACGCAGGCAAGCTGTCGAGGTTATTGATGCCCCCAACCATTATGCTAAAGGGTGTAATTCCGGCGTGTCTGCATCCGACATTCTGGTGGAATACCCTGCCTCTGGAGGTGGAGATAGAGTGACTGAACTGGCAGATGCATACATTGCTGGCCATGGTGTTGCTCTGCTGCTGCTGTACTCTGGGGCTGGTATCGATGTTATAAAGAGAAGAGAACATCCTGAGGATATGTGGCCGCCCATGGAAGAGCTCTTCTTGGCCGTGTTCAGCAGTTTGACCGCCAGAAGGAGAGAAGGTGGCGGGAATCCCACGCTGCGCAGCGAGGAAGCTGCAAACGTTTCCTTACAGATCTCCCTCACAGTTCTTAAGCATGACCAAGCGAAGGAATTGTTGCCTGCGAATGAAAGCGGTAATAAAGGGCCGACATGTTTCACCAGGGCAATCATTGATACTTCGCCCCTGTACGGTCCAACCCTACTCCACGCTAGCTATCATGAGGTTGCGGGTCCAGAAAATGTGAAGGGGTTGACGCACAGTGCCCTAAAAGGGATGACGACCGACGACTATCGTTGTGGCGTGTTAATCCTCTCTGCCATTCTGCGGCAATTTGTAGAGGAAGCAGATGACGTTGTTGTTTCAAAAATGTTTATTGCCATTTCCAGTGCGGAGACAATTCATGGGGTGGTTAAAAGTCGGCAGCCTTCCACAACTGCTTCTCTGCTTCGAAGGGTACTTCGTAGCCCACAGCTGACGACAACGCTGACGCAACCGTTGGCGCTGGGTGGGGTGGAGCTGTCCCTGTCGGAGAGGCTGTTAATGGTGGAGGTGCATCGCCTTTTGCGGAGCATACGACGTCATCGACGCGTCCGTGAAGTCACGGTGAGCATGCGTTTTCTTCTGAACTTGGCGCTGGCTCGCTGCAAGGCGCTGATGGTCCCTGCTTTTAAAGGTCACAGTGATAGTGACGCTAACAGCCCCACAGCTGACGATCTGAGGCAGGCATTCATGGCCCTGCAGAAGTCCTCCACGGGGTGGTCGCCAGGAATCATATGCAAGTCGCTCCAGATGTATTTAGATGACATTCGCCTTGCCTTGCGGATTTCCAACAGCGAGTTCCCCAGTTTCTTGGTCGCCAACGTGGAGGCGGCAACTGAGGATGCGGGGGGGGACCTTCGACGGAGGCGCCGTGAAACCAGTTCCGTGCAGAAGCTACGCCGATGCGATAACGGCGTGCTAAAGTTTTTGGCCAACGGGTGGATGCAAACACAGATAAGGGTAAACCTCTTTGGAGGCCTCCTTGCAGCACCCGCAGGCGGCATCAAGCCGCTCTTTACGGAAACGCTTTCAACGGATGGAAACTCTTCGGGCGAACGCTTTCATTCCCTTCTTCTACTGGATGTCGTCGAAAACGCGGGCGAACATGGGATTATACGCTCCGACAAGAAGAATGGGGTAACGGTGAAAGCGACGGAAGCTGTGTCGTTCAAATTTTCCTTTGATGAGGTCTGTGTTCGGCGCAGTGAAACTTTTTTGGGCGAAAACTCGGCACCGCCGTTTGAACGTTCTACACATCTCACTCGCGTGGGCAAATTAAGCAAGCAGGGCTACAACACTGCCATCCTCTACATGCGGGACGGAGCAAGGCACCTGGGGGACATCTTCGCCTCCCCTGTGTGGTCAACGTTTCTGGAGTTCGTGGAATCCGAAGTGGCCCTACGCTCCGCTGGGCATGAGCTGTATTTCTCTGCTACGCAGGTGCTGTCCAGAGACTACGTTAGGGACCACCTTGCCGTTGTCACAAGCAAGGGGCAGGGCATCGTTACCCTGCCGTTTCAGGCGGCCTGGACACCGGCGGGGCCGGTGGTTCGGGGGGCGCGATTTGTCACATTGAGGTCAGTCGAACAGTTTATGACGATACTCCGTGAGTTGAGCATGAACGCGAAGGTTCTTCCCAACTCCCTGCTCAGCGGGATAAATCTGATTCTCTCTTTCCTAGTGAAACGTGTGACTTCCCCCGAGACCGCACCCCCGTCTGGCACGCAGGCTGCCTTCCCCGGGGACGTGGTGCTCTCTTCCATGACAGCTTCCCTGACGACGCGTCCCGAGTTTTACAAGTCGCTTTGGATTGATGACTTTGTACCCATGGAGGGCCAAAAAAATTTGTACCGCTGCATTCAGCACCATTACACGCTCTGTGTGACGGACGTGAGCAATACCTCCGTGGCCGCGTTAGGCTTCCTCAAGACCCATGAACTTCTCCAGCAGACCAAATCGCCGCCACCCCAGAGGAAGTGGACGATGCGCAGCCTGGAGAAGTATTTGGCAGAGAGGTGTGCCCTTTTCCTGCAAGAACTCCTCCAGCTGAAGGGAATCAGTGAGATCCGTTTGACAACAGAAAAGCAACGTGATATTTTTGGCGACGTAGACATAGTCACGGCGCATGAAGTTGCAGAGGCCTGGGGTCTGGTGGAGCGACTGCGAAGCGCCGTGAAGGAACTTCTTGATGCGCCAAGCGCCGCCCATCCTAGGGCGGTATTTGCTGGTGGCACTTACGACATCACGATGCCACCTACTTTTCTCCATTACACGCCGCCTGTCGTGGAGGAGTGCCCCAGCACCAGCAATACCGCGAAAGGAAGCAACTCGGCTGGGCAGTGCTGGAATACCAAAGCAGGCACGAAAACACCGCCACCACAAGCTCTAGGCGCGGCGGAGCAAGATGGGTTGAACACGATCAATCATAAATCCAGCATTTTCTGCGGGTCAGGCAACGACAAGCATCGCCGATGCATGCCAGAAAAAAACGGCGACGTGACGAACACCAAAATCAAAACAGAAAATGGTGTGGCGAGGCTCGTCAAACCCCATGAGTTAAAATCTGTTCAGTAGACGTCACGCCTCGCTTGATTTTCAGATACGACCGAGCCAGGCCTCCAGTAGCCCCACAACACGCGAGGTGAAGAGATCAATAAATATTGTGGATTTCTCCCACGAAATTTGACCAATGGAGTGGCTCCTCGGGTACTTATTTCCAAAATTTTCCATGAATTGCAGAGATAGACATGTGAGGTGCTTGGCAGACGCCTGGAGGGCGCCCGCGGCGAACTCGGCCACCTTGTCGTGTCGCCTTCTGCAGGAGGCGCGGGACAAATGCAGTTGATTTCCCGCCCAATATCCCCACACGCCCGACAATTGGCGACATCTCTTGCGCCGTGGATTTGTCGGTGGCAGCTTCTCCGGCTTTGCGGGGGCGTGGAATTGAATCCTGGTTCCCTTTTGCGGGTCGGCCGATGGAATGCTGGCGGTTTCTCAAGCAGGGGGGAATTGAATCCCTCTTTGGAGAAGTGGTTGAAAAAATGGCAAGTTGCGGTGCGTGTTCACTTTGACACGCTTTTTGCTGTGAACAAGTGAGGGTGTTTTTTTTTATTCTTTTCGGCAGTTTCCTTTGGCGCCAGCGCCCCACTGCGACGGGCCCCCCGCACTTCTCCAGGCGGGGGATCGGCGCCCTCACCGGCCCTCGGAAGGCAGAGCTCCACCGTTCCGGACGCTGAAACTGGCCGCCTTGTTGGGCGGCGCAGGAACTTGCTGCTTCGCCGCCTCGCACAGCAGCGACGAACGCATCTCTTCGCAAAGTCGCGGTTGCTCGCTGGAAGGGGCGGTGCTCGCGACCGGTGCCGGGGGAGGCGGCAAGCTGAGGCCTCGCCAGGGCAGTCTTCGCCCGCGCCCCGCCAGTTCGCCGGTTGCGGCGGCGGATGGCCAACCGACCGCCACAAAGGAGCGCACCGACACCTGGGCGCGAGCGTGCGCCGCCACGTCTGATTTCCCTTTGCGGAGCTCGACGCTGCATCGCGGGAGATGCGTCTCCGGAGTGCGCCGGGGCCGGGCTTCGCTTCACTGCGAAGCCCGGCGACAACTGCCCCTCGCCCCCCGCAAAGAATTCGTGGCTGCGTTCAACAGAAGCATCAGCGACGGTGGCGTTCCGGCCTCCTGGAAAGCGGGCATTGTGACTATCGCACTCCTCAAGCCTGGGAAGCCGGGCAAATGCTTCCCGCCTCGCTTCGGCCCGT